GGGAGCCTTCTGTACTCCGCTGTACACACAAGGCCGGATATCTCCTTTGTTGTCGGACAACTCGCCAAGGTGGTGTCCAACCCGACTGAGGAACAAGTTGACGCGGCCGAAAGAGTCGTGAAGTACTTGAACTCATTCCCATTTGTCGGAGCTCAATTCTCAGCAACGGCACAGCAGAAGCAGAAGGGGGTGGAGCTGCTGAGGGAGAAGGGAGAGAGGCTACCGGAACAGAAACTTTTCCTCACTTGTTTCTCCGACGCAACCTGGGCATCGGAGCAAGAAGACTCGTCCTCTGTGGGTGGCTGCATTTGCGTGATAGGGGGAGGACCGGTGAGCTAGAGGTCCAAGAAACAGAGTGAATCGGCTCTATCATCTGCCGAGTCCGAGTACATGGCCATGTTTCATGCCGTGAAAGAAATCATATGGCTGAGAAGGCTACTGGAAGAGATCAGTCAGGAGCAGACGATTCCCACGCCACTATACCGCGACAACATGTCGGCAATCGCAATGGCTCGCAACGCTGTCCGTCACGGCCTCAACAAGCACATGCACCTGAAGTGGCACTGGCTGCGCAAGGAAGTTAACCGTGGAATAGTCAATCCGATCTACATCAAGACACAGCAGCAGCCGGCAGATGTTCTCACCAAACGAGTAGCCGATGAACCACACTGGAGGCGTGCGCGGATGAGCGGTATGAGCATGAACTAAGGGAGACGGGGAGAAAACCGACAGATTGAGGAGGAGTGTGCTAATACAGAATCAATTTTCTGTATATCAATCAGCCAGTTTATCTCCTCGGAGTGCACTAGTCATTTGAGGCGAAAAGCAGAGGGGCGAATCGTTCATGATCGAGTCGAGTGTTCAAGGGGATTTAGCTTCGACAAATGGGAGGCATCAGTTCGGTTCGGTTCGAGCAAAGGACAGCACGGAATAACCGTTCGCGCTGCGAGTTCGTTGGTGCTCAAAGCGACAGGTTTCGACTGCGCTGATTGGACAAATGCTCGGGCAGCAAAGTTCGTCGTTCTGAGCACGCAGCCAAAACTAGTTCCGAACATGTTCAGAACAGGTTCGAACATGTTCAGAACAGTGTTCGAACAAGTTCGAAACAGGTTTGAACAAGCTGACGCGGCTGAAGCAGAGGGCAGCTACATGCGCGCCGACATTTCGAGAGCTACACTTTCGCCATCTGGAACACGTCAGCCCAAGAAAGTGCTCACAGCTCGAGCGATCAAAGCACGTGGCGAAACTGCTCACGCCACCAGAATTCAAGCAAGGGGATTGGCCCGAATCAGCACGCATGTTCAAAACAGCAAAGCTGACTCAAATAAACAAAACGGATCGATCGGAGCCGTTATCAGAACGGCGCGAAAATCACAACGGATCAACGCCGTTAATAAATTCCGCGCGAACAGCTAAAACATTCGCCGGCGAATCGCAACCTAGCTGAGTCACAAAAATAAAACGAGGGAAACGCGAAAATTGCTCGCGCCTCGCTAAGGATAGGAATTTCTCAGCCATGTTAGGTAGCTAGCAGTAGAAACAGCCTAGAGAATATATAAATGTATGGCCTGAATATTAATAAAACACTCTGCCACACATTTAATCTCACACGCTACTATCAGATTTGACGTCCAACGGACTCTCTGCCCACGCCGTGACAAGGGCTTCCACTGTTGAAACTCTAGTCTACTGAATTGCTCTTTCAACAAACTCGGACCCTTGGATAGGGGCTGACTCTAGTCAGGCACCCAAGGACCCTCGGAGGTGACCCCGAGAAGAGTTGTTTCAGTAATTGTAGAACCATCAGCAGTAGGAACTAAGTGATTCTGAAGTTACATGCACTACACTCTGTATCCTCTCCCGTTGCTTCTAAATGTGTACGTATTTGCATGTTTGTGTAAGGCTCGTAATAGCTCCTGTTGTCTTCTTTATTTGCTTTCAATTCTTGAAATGGCTGTTTCTTGCAACAATTTGTTATAAAGTCAATGGTAAGTTTAGCAGCTTGTATCACGGTCAGATTTCAGGATGACATCATTTGTTCAGTCATTTACGCTTCTATCCTGCCATTTGGTTCATTCATTTCTAAGGATGTATCAATTTCATGGCACCCTTTGCATGTGCTTGGTATCAACGGTTTCACCATCTCGGTCACTATCCACATACAGCTCTGATTATGTGTGCAGGAATAACAGTAAAATTATCTTGTTGTATCCGGTGTTTCTTTCCACCCATAACGCCCTACCCTTTTGCATGTTGTACCATCAGGTTTCTTGACAACAACAATCTGAGTGGGTCTATTCCATCCACCATCGGAAGCATGCGCGACCTTGTTAGATTGTTGGTATCATCAAGAAATATGAAACAGAGCCTACACGACCTCGTCAAGATTTAGAAGAGGGCTTGAGCAGGTCAACTTGATTTAGGAATGACCATATACGCTAGACATGAGCAAGGGGCCGGGCCGATGGGCTGAGCCAGGCGTCTCGGTGCCAGGGTCTGCCATCGATCTCCCCGTATTAGCCTCATGACAAGGTCTTGCAATGTTCAAGAGATAAAATACACGGGCAAAGAAGATTCAGAAACTTCCATCCATGGGCAGGAGAAGTAAGTGAGGTTCTCTAATATCATGCCAGGGCCATGAGACTTAGCTGTCACTAGTTCTATCAACCCCAAATTAATTCGTAAAGACTAGGCAAGCCCCGAGCTCTCCTTTTCATCAAATTGAAACTCTTCTTTTCAAAGCTGCTGGCTTACAACTTTCCTCCTCGTAATAAAACTTTTTTTCAGGTGAAACAAAGACATTTTAGTCTGGACTACCCCATGCTAGACACTCTGCTGGCATTGCTATCTCATCTTGTTTACATGTATTTCCATCCACCACCACTTACATTGTGCACTCTGTGACCTTAACTTTTGCTTCTGCATGTGTACATGTTTGCATGCTCGTGAAACACTAAAAAAAGCGCCTGTTTTTTTTTTTTTATCGCTTTGATTTTGTGTAATGGCTGTTACTTGCAGCATTGTGCTATCATGTCAGCGTTAAAGTGTAGTAGCTTGTTTGTGTTTGTGCTCACAATCAGGCACATGTTTGTGTTTGTGCTCACAATCAGGCACATGTTTGTGTTTGTGCTCACAATCAGGCACATGTTCGACTTGGTAGCTTGTATCACAATAGGTTGCATGTCATGTTCTCTTCAGTCATTCTCGTTACATGATATCACACGTCCCTCTACTACCATATATTTCCTTCTTCTTTTTCTTTTGTATCAGGACACCCTTTGTATGTGTTTGGTACCAATGGTTTCACCGTATCCGTTACTATCCACATATGCAGCCCTAATAATGTGTCCATGAATATTACTAAGGTTCTCTTCCTGTATTCAGTACTTTGTTTCATTCATTACACCCTTTGCATGTTGTACTATCAGGTATCTTTACAAAAACTCTTTGAGTGGGTCTATTCCATCCACCATCGGTAGCCTGACCAACCTAGTTTGGCTGTGAGTATCATCATGGGAATAAGACAGAGAGCCAGCATCTAATCGCACAGGTTCGGAAACCAGAGGACCTGCAATGGTGGGCCCTATACCCTAAGCATGAGCACAGGGCCAGGCCGCTGGGTTGAGCCAGGCCACTGACCAAGGAGGCCATGTGTTTTTTCTATCTCGCTCTCCAATGTTCTTCTACGTTTTATAATCTTTTGGTTCAATGTTTTGTGTCTTCATCTTAGTACATGTGAAACCTGGTGCATGCATGCACCATCGGGAATCATGATGGCAATGCCCTAGCTGGGGCTAAACCGTTTATTATCTGTTATTTTATGTACAGCAATGTCAGCTGGAACAGCCTCACTGGCCAGCTCCCTCCAACAGTTGCCAATCTCACTCTTCTTGATTACTTGTAAGGCATCTTCGCATATGAAAATGCATTTTCTACCTTTCTAGCTTTGAAGCATCTCACAAAGTGGTGTACAAGGTACCTAGGTAGGTGTTCCACTGGTGAGGTGTTCCACTGGTACATTGCACCCACAGGTAAGATATATTCAACCATTCAACGTACCAAGGTCACGACTTGGGCTGGATTGGCCGAATCCTGATATGCCTGCCATCCAAGGTGCAAAAAAACGACGTTTTTTTTTCAAATTTTGATCGTAAAATACCGTATCGTAAGAAACGATCGTAAAAAAACGATAAAAACAGATTTTGAAAATAAATACTTTTGGTGCAAAAAAACCTTCGTTTTTTTCAGTAAAAATACCAAAACTGCTGCTGAAACAAGGGGATTGATTGGTGAGAAGAACAAGGGGGCCGTTAGAAGTGCTGATGATGCAGCAGAAGATTGTTAGAAGTGCTTTTGTGATCAGAACAGCATCTTTGAAGTTGAAGAGTTCTTTTTGTCTAACAAAAAAACGACGTTTTTTTCCCAAAAGGTACCGTAAAATACCATCGAAAAAAACAATCGTATTTTTCGACAATCGTTTTTTTCTACCTTGCTGCCATCTATTGAACCGGGCTGCTCAATGTCAGGCAAAGCAGACCAATGTATGCTTTGCGAGTACTCTCATAGCTTGATAACACTCCGTGTGTACACAGGGACTTTTCTTGGACTGCAATCACATGCCCTCCTGACTACAGCAGCTGCGTGGTCCCACAGACCACTTCAAGTGCTTTCTGCAAGCAGTGTGGTTCCTTCTGCTCCACGTGTGACAAGACACCACCAGGTGATAAGCAATCTCCTTATGAATGTAGCTCCAACTTCTACTGCCTTTTCTGCATTGCTCTTGTTATTGATGAGTGCATAAACACTGTTTTGCATTTTATATAACAAGTTTTCTCCAATGTCAGGCATTCACAACTTGGCCACTTCTCACACGGAATCCCATACATGTTGTGCTTCGGATGTATGCCTTCTGATGGGTACTGAAGATTATCTGCTCCAGCATTTCGATGCCTTCCTTCACTTTCTCTCCCTGTGCAAACTGTACCTTTTCTTACATCCCCTTACACCTCCCCATCGCCAGTGCCAACACCTTCCCCATCGCCAGTGCCGACACCCTCCCCATCGCCAGTGCCAAAACCCTCCCCATCGCCAGTGCCAACACCCTCCCCATTGCCAGTGCCAAAACCCTCCCCATCGCCAGTGCCAACACCCTCCCCATCGCCTGTGCCAACACCCTCCCCATCACCAGTGCCAAAACCCTCCCTACCGCCAGTGCCAACACCCTCCCCATCGCCAGTGCCAACACCCTCCCCATCGCCAGTGCCAAAACCCTCCCCATCACCAGTGCCAACACCCTCCCCATCGCCAGTGCCAACACCCTCCCCATCACCAGTGCCAACACTCTCCCCATCACCAGTGCCAAAACCCTCCCCACCACCGGTGCCAACACCCTCCCCATCACCAGTGCCAAAACCCTCCCCATCACCAGTGCCAACACCCTCCCCATCGCCAGTGCCAAACCCTTCCCCACCTCCTCCCACGTCAACTCCCAGCGAGCCTACAGCCTCTTCCTCCCAGTCTGGAGGCGGTTTATCCAATGGAGCCACTGCTGGCATCGCAGTTGCTGGTGCTGTGGCTGTCCCCGTGCTGCTGCTGCTCAGCTGGCTGCTGTGGAAGCGATGCTGCACCAACGGGGCAGCAGCAGGACGCGATACCGGCAAGGATGTGAATGGCAAGGGTTCGGATAAAGAGAGTGCGCACCAAGGTAAGATATCTCCAACGCATGATGTTCAAAAGCCATCATCATTCCCAGCCTCCCTCTGCACTTACCATCCACTCTTGACTCCTCGTCTTAATCTTATCTCCTCCTTCACAACCACAGGCTCGGAACACGATTTTCCAAAGGCAGCATCCAATGCAAAAGAGAGCGACCCAGAAGCAGCAGCTGCAGCAGCGGCAGCAGCAGCGGCTGTGGCGGCAGGAGCAGCAGCACGGGAGAAGCAGAGAGACGTGGTGGTGGAGATGGAGGCAGTGAAGCCACATGTGTGCCAGAAGTTCACTCTGGAAGAGCTCGCAAGCGCAACGGGAGATTGGGCAGAGGGGAACAGGATTGGTAGCGGCAGCTTTGGAGATGTGTACAAGGGCGTGTCACTGAATGACCCCAATGAGATGTGGGCTGTGAAGCGATCTAGGGTCCTCTCCAATGACTTTCTGACTGAGGTACCAGACGGTGCTAATGATGCTTCTGGTTTCACACCATGAATTATATCGTCATGCTGTTATTGAATGACCTTTATATTCAGATGTGTGTGTGCACGCACGCGGGCGCGCACACTCACACACAAACATGCATGGACAGATATACACACATATACACAAACACACACACATGCACATTCACATATGTTCACGCTTCTTCTCTCCCGAGTGATTGTTTTCCTACTCTCACCTTGCAGGTGAAGGAGATGGCTAGCAAGCACCACCCCAACTTGGTGCGCCTGTTGGGATTCTGTGTGAACTTTGACCCGGCTACGAGTCTCGTGGAGCAAGTACTTGTGTACGAGTTCATGGTCAATCGGGACCTCGAGAGCTGGATTGGACCAGGTACATAAGCTTCTCTCTACACCTGACACCTTTTTTTTTTTGCACCAGCAGACTCCCTTTCACCTGGAAGCTGCACCTTCGAATTAGGTTTCAGAGTTCGCACTTTTCACCACAACCATTCATTTCGTCATTCGCGAATTCTGATTACATGTCAGCATTTTCAGATTTTAACACTACTGTAACCATTTTTAGGCTTAATCATCAACTCAAAAAAAAAAAAAAAAAAAGGCAAAAATTGGCAAAAATTGGCATGGAAAATTGGTTTTCACTCTTTCGGTTTCCAGGTGCTCCAAGCCCCCTTTCATTCTTGCAACGACTTGACATTCTGATTGGGGTTGCCAAGGGGTTGCATTATCTTCATGATTTTGGCATTGTGCACCGCGACATCAAGCCAGCCAACATTCTTCTTGATGCAAAAATGCAAGTATGTATAGCGCCATTTTCTGCATGCATTCTCTTTGACCTACATAGAATTTCTGTTCTTTGCATGCTTTGACTGATCGAAAACAATTGGTGCCGCCCAACATCTGAATTCTTACTACATGCACATGTGACTATTGTTCAGGCCAAGATCGCAGACTTTGGGCTGGTGAAACTCACTGGAGGCACCGCTATGGGAACTTCTGTAGCTGCCACTCGAGTGATGGGAACACCAGGCTATGTGGACCCTGCCTACTACAAGTCCCACAAGGCCACTCCAGCAGCAGACATGTACAGGTGAGAGGGCAAAGACGGCTCTTTTGAGTTGTCTAGGAAACCATCTACTGCTGCCACTTAAGTGTTGGGAACACCGAACTATGTCAGTTTTGCTATCTACAAGTCACAAGGCCACTCCAGCAGTATATGTGGAGATGTATTTTTCGTTCTCCGTTTGTGATGCAGGTAGGGCATAAAAAAAAATTGTCAGCATGCCTCACATTTATCTCCATTCTGGTCCCTGTCCCTTTTGGTGGTTTGGTGTTGACAGCTATGGTGTGGTGATGTTGGTGGTCATCTCAGCACGCAAGGCCGTGCATGTGAGCGAGACCAGCCAGATCAGCCTGAAGCAATGGGTGAGGCACAGTTGCTTGGTACATACTGCCTGAATGCTTCGTGCAATAATTGCACGACCAATGCCCATTCCTCTACTCATTGGCATGAAGTGCAATGAACCATCAGCCATATGTCCGCGTGCATGTGTTCCCTTTCATTTGTACAGATCGCCCCATTCGTGGAGTCAGATGCTGTGGCAGTCTTCAAGGACCCCCACTTGGACGCACCAGATGACTTGGTGCTGCGCTGGGCTCGCCTTGCCCTCTCCTGCACCGCCATGCCTGTGGCCTCTCGCCCCTCCATGAGTCAAGTGCTGGGGGAGCTGGTGAAGTTGAAGCAGGAGGCGTCCGGAGCACATGAGAGCCATGTGGGCGAGGCAAAATCTCGCATCGACATGGAGCTTGGGAGTTTCGGTGGCTCCTCCAGCTTCACTGCAGAAATGGCCCGTGCGGAGCGTGAGGGGGGCATGCCAAGTGGTTCTTCCTCGTAATCAAGTCTGTTTTCACATGCACCTTACTGGTTTACCTAGAGCTTCCAGTACCAATGGTTTGTGTCATACGAAAACATACATGGGGAAATAAGGCCTGTTGATAGATATTTCAGAAGGGGTAGTTGTAAGATCTTTGTGAGCAGATTGACGGAACAACAAAATTCTGCTAGGTTCACAGAAAGCAACAACTGTATTTTTGGCTTGTCCATAGGCACTTATTTTGTGCTCATCATGTTTTCTGAAGTTCGTAGATATTGCATGCATTATACTTGCTACATTGTAGAATAGCATCATTCACAATCAGTATGGGATACCGAAATGGCATCAACAAATGTGAGGCAAGTGAAGTTCTACACTACGATATAGCAACTCTTTTTCCATCCCAGATAGCTAACCCGCAAAACATCACATTGTCCCTCTATTCTGCGCGTCCGGACATTTTCTACTTTGTTGGATGCCTCGTCAGCTGTTACATGTGGGGAAGAAAGGGTTCGACCCTTTCACAGCCCTTTCATTTCCAATGTCATATGAAATGCGGTAGAGGAAGAGCCTTTTGGGAGGAATGAAACCTGGCGAAAGAAGTGTTATTAGGAGCGGGTTTTGAGAGATAGCTGGGAGGATAATCTCCCGGCAATATGGACTTGGTTGAACAGCGGAGCAGGGCATACTGGTATTGATCTATACTCATGAGCATCATACAATTGCTTAGGGTTGTGAAGTCAGGGAGGGGGGAAGGAGGAGGGCAAGGGGGAGAGGGAAGTGGAGGCTCACGTTGAGATGATCACGCAATGGGAGAGTGATACCATAATCTCATGGCAAGAAGACCAGGGTTCGAAGAATGGGGTAGCAAGAAATGGACTTCAGTGTCAACCCATCTTCTCTCCCCCATGTCCCTCCTCCTCCACACATGCCCTCTACGATAGCCACTAGCTTTGCTCATAATTGTGAACTTAAACTATTGCTTCTTGAACTTGTGCTCAGATAGTGTGGTGACATTGGGATCCACCTTGAGCTTGTACTGCTTTGCTTGCTCTGCTGATTACACCCCACTTCGGCTATGGGGGTGTGTCAAAATATTATGCTCTAGCTGCTCTAAACTTTCACAGGCTTTGCCGAAGAAAGCTTCAACAAGCATCGCGCCATGTAGGAAGAACAGGAAGAAGAGGAAGAAAAAAAAAACGCCTACGTTGCGCTGGTGAAGCTACGCCATGCTCGACTAGGTGTTGGTTGACGAGAAAGAAGAACAGCTCGAAGTGGATAGAGGTGGAATGAAAGGGCGTGCTAAAAGCAAGATGCAGCGTGGGGAGGGGGGAGGAGTTTGGATTCTAACCAATCGACTTTGCCTCAGGTAAAGAAAACAGAGACGTTCTCGCACACGATCCCTGCCTCGTCTCCGAGGCATGGCCTCCCGTGTCCTTGTCTCTGATCTCCCCCGGTCTCTCCCTCCCCTACCTCCAAGGCCTGCCCCTTCCTGCGTCCCGTGCGTCGAGGGGCAACAGCGCGTCGCCCCTCACTCCTCCGAGTTTCCTCCGACAGCGGCTCCGCTGCAGACTCTTCACATGGACGTGTGGGGCCCCGTCCGGGTCCTTGGAAAAGGTCACGACGTTACTTCGTGTTGGTGGTTGACGACTACTCGCGTTAGACCACAGTCTTCCCCTTGCGCACCAAGGGTGACGTCACTGAGGTGTTGATCGACTAGATCCGCGCGTCTCCAGCTCAGAGAGAGTTTCGGCTCGGACTTTCCTGTTCTGCGTGTGCACTCTGACAGAGGCGGAGAGTTTTCCTCTGCCCATCTGGGAGCCTTCTGTCGAGAACAGGGCATCTGCCAGACCGTGCACGCTTCCGGCCTCTCTACAGCAAAATGGGATTGCTGAGCGCCGCATTGGCATGGTCATGGACGTCGCTCGTACGTCCATGATCCATGCGGGTGCCCCCCATTTTCAGTCGCCGTTTGCGGTTCAGTACGCAGTGCATCAGCTCAACCTTCAGCCCCGGGTCTCCTTACCAGAGACCTCCCCCACCTTGCGGTGGACGGGGAAGGTTGGCGATGCGTCTGCGTTACGTCTCTGGGGATCTCGGGCGTTTGTCCGCGACTTGTCTGCGGACAAGCTGTCCCCCCGTGCTGTTCCCTCCGTCTTCCTTGGCTTCCCCCCTGACGCGCCTGGTTGGCAGTTTTACCACCCCACCTTGCGCCGTGTTCTGTCCTCCCAGGACGTCACCTTCGACGAGTCGGTGCCTCACTACCGTCTCTTCCCCTACTGCACTGCGCCCCTCCCCCCGCCGCCGCTCTTCCTTGCGCCAGGTCCTCGCCCGGTAGACCCCCTCCCCCCTCAGGGTCCTGCCCCGTCAGGTGTGTCCCAGGTAGACGCAATCGAGCCTGTCGAGGTAGCTGTTGACTCTGGTGCTGCTGCAGGAGGTACTGAGCCCGCGGGTGCCGTGTCTGGAGGTGCTGAGCCTGTGGGTGCGGAGCCTAGGGGTGGTGAGTCTAGGGGTGCTGAGCCTGGAGGTGCTGAGTCTCAGGGTGTTGAGCCTAGGGGTGCTGAGCTTGGGGGTGCGGAGCCTGGGGGTGCTGGGTCTGCTCGTGTGGCCTCTGGCGGTGCTTCGTCGAGGCGGGAGCCACTCTCTCCGCAGGAGAAGCGCGAGTCGTTTGCCCGGCGCTCGAGCCGTGCTGCTGGAGC